TATTAGTAGCTTCTTGTTACTACTAGTAAGGCACTTGTTACTACTAGTAAGGCACCTGTTCCTAGTAGCGTGGCACTTGTTACTAGTAGCGATGCACTTGTTACTACTTGCTTCTTTGACTTTAAGGACCCTCACGTGTCAGACTGCATCCTCGCTCAATCACTCCTTGATCACAATTGTCCACGTGTGACGGCAAAGTAAGGACCTCACCGCCGAACCCGAACACTGCGACCGAAGGTGAAATCACTCCACTGACAAGACTTCTTTGTTACTAGTAGCAAGAATGCTCCTAGTAGTACGGCCAGGAGCCCCTAGTAGCGTCCTTGTTACTTCTTTGTGAGCCCCTGCTTGGGGAATGTGAAGCCCTTTCAATCACCAAACGAGGCACAAAACCCCGACCACATCGCGACACGTGGACAGCTTGACATAGCCCAAATTCCTACACAACTGCTCTACTAGTAGCTAGAAGCTACTAGGTGGAGGCCATCGCTACCAGTATAAACAAAAAGCTTCTAGTTTCCCAAAAGATCTAGGTTTTAAAATATTAGTGCGAGCTTCCTTGCGTCCATTTGCTAGAAGCGTCCTTCTTAATAGCTACTATAGCCTATAGCTCCCCTTAATGGCTACTATAGCCTATAGCTCCCTCTTCTAGTGGCCCCCCGGGCTTTAAAACGAAAAACAGAACACAAACCTCTCCCATCATGACACGGGGAGAGTGAAGCAGCTACGACCCAAAGCTGTCACTGGGGCATCCGACCCTCCGCCCAGACAAGCCCAGCTCGGCAGGGAGGATTCGCCGCCCAGCACTAGTGGGCCTGGAGGAAAAACAAAAGCTTTGCCAAGGACGCTACTAGGAGCAAAGGGCATCGCTACTAGGAACAAGGGCCTTACTACTAGTAACAAGAAGCTAGTAGAAACAAGAATTAGTAACTAGAATTAAAAGTAGTAGCAAAAGAGGCTACTAGCGCCTGGAGGAAAAACTAGTAGCCATGCCCTTTGTTCCTAGTAGCTTCTTGCTCCTAGTAGTAACGCCACGAGCCCCGTTCGTAGCGTCCTTTGCTCCTAGTAGCGATGGTCTCTATTTTTTGGGTTGCCCAGCGATAGCCTCCAACCTACAAACAGAAAAACAATAAGAGGAGCCAACTGGGCGAGACCCAACTGGGCGAGATTGGCCAACTCGGGGAGTTGGGCGAGTTAGTTCTCGTTCTGTCGGCGAGATCTTCCGTTCTCATCCTGAAAAAAGTGTTCTCATTCTTTTCTCTACAAGCACGGTTTTGGGGTTACAACTCTTCACAACAAAAAGCACTTATCCAAGTCACTTGGATGACAGGCAGTCTGCTCTTCCTGAACTCCGTGTGGAACAAAAGCAGGGTTTTGTCTGTTCATCAACCAAGGGATCTATCACAGTCTCATCAGTCAAGCCAGGTGCCAAATAAACCTCCGAGAAAGCCTAACTGGCCAAAAAGCATCTTGACAAATTCAAGAGTCCGAGACCATCGCTAATAGGTTGAAGGCGCTAGTAGGGTGGAAGCCCTGGATCAAACGAGCAAGAATGTGAAGCGAAAACCGGTTCGCGAACTCAGCCGAGGACCCCAGGACCCACCTGTTCTGGTGCTGCTGTCTGGTCATAAGACCCTTGTAGCTCAGCATGCCGCCAGGACCTACCAAAAGCTCAGGATGAGGACCCGAACACAACTGATCTCTTTCCTTGACCAAGAAACCCAAAGACACACACAGGCTATGACGGGTTGCCGCAATCTCACTGCAGATACCTCAGGTCTGCACATCCAAGTCAAGATCCATTCTGTACCTATCATTCAGGCTAAAGGCCCTCCTTTCATTCACCGAGTCCTACTGTCCTTTTGGAATGAAGGGTGAAGCCAGAAGCGATGCCGTTGCTGCAGTACCGCACGACATCCATCTACAGAACAAGGTTTGTGAATTTACACCTTTGCATCGGCGCCTTTGCATTGATTTCGCTGGTCTTTGCATTGACGTCGTCGGTTAAAATCGCTTCTTTGGTCTTGGCAGTGACATGTTTGCATTGACCTTTTGGCATTGACATCTTGCATCGAAGTTGTTGGTTCTAGCAGCAGCTTCTTTGTTTTTGTGTCTTTGGCTTTTGCGTTGGCGTCCTTTGTCTTTGCATTGGAGTTGTCTTTCTGCGGACCTCTTATGTTGTCCCCTGAGTTTTCTCTTTGTGTCCACTCCGGCGTATGCTGTGGCTGGTTGTTGCCTCTCCCAAAACTGCTCTATACAACAGCTGAGTGAAATCCGCAGAAGCAATCATACAGAACCTTGCCCATTCGGTGGCACAAACAGCACTGAACAGCACTGATTGAATATTTGTGAAATGAGGACGGAAACGAGACTCTTTCTTATTCTTTTCGCTCCTAGGTTGGAGGCCATCGCTCTTAGGTTGGAGGCCATGGCTATTTACTAGGGTGGAGGCCATGGCTATTCGGGTGGAGGCCATCTCTATCAGGGTGGAGGCCATCATTATTAGGGCGGAGGCCATCGCCATTAGGTTGACCATTCTTCTTTCCTCTTTATGAAGCCTGGCAACTTGCTGCGCGCTTATGAGCTAGTGACTAGTGTGAAAGGTCCCGTCTTCGCAGGAAGCGAGATGCAATCAATATAAATTCGTCCCACCTCCATCTCCTTCGCTCCGTCGACTCTGAGCGCCTTTGTACAAGGAAGTGATCTTGAGTAAGCGTTTCATACGAAATCCTGCTTCGAAACCCTTAAAATCCACACTGCAAAGCCTTACCCTTCCCATCGCAATTAGGCTGGATGGAGGCCATCGCTCTTAGGTTGGAGGCCTTTGCTACTAGAAACAAAGGAAAAAGAAGAGCTTTGGATGCTGAGATCAAGGCTTTGCGGTCGCACCCTGACAGAGTGACGCTTGTGCTCCACAGCACAATAAACCCAGCTTGCAGAAGGCAGACGAATTGAAGCATCTCCCGATAATTTGGGAGCTAAAGCATCAACACAGGAATTCTGAAGCATCTGTTTGGGTACTTGCATTTTTGCTCTTAGGTTGGAGGCCATCGCTATTGGGGGAGGCCATCGCTGGTAGGGGGAGGCCATCCCTCTTCGGTTGGAGGCCATTCCTATTAGGTTGGGGCCATCGCTATTTGGTTGGAGGCCATCGCTATTAGGTTGGAGGCCATCCCAATTTGGTTGGAGG